GAGCATATGCTAAATAATCAAGGTAAACCTTTTTGTACTTGGGAATAATAATAACAATATGTGTGATCTTACGTTATGGATTTAAATATAGCTCTAGAAAAATATAGAAGGATTGACCGTTGAGCTAATGATTCCCTTTTTCCTTTTTTTCCTTTTTTCCTCCTTTCTTCTCCCCCTTCTTTCCCCCCCCCCCTCTTTTTTCCCTTAATAATAATTACACCATAAGATGGATATTTAAAATTGGGGTTTTTGTGTTGAAACAATCCATAATGAGAATATTTAGGTGATATTGCCATCTTGTGGTGTGCTGTGGTAATTTACATTGCTCTTTTAACCTCTTGCCGTCCGCCTGCTGTTTATAAACGGCAGGGCGGTGGCAGTCCAAGGTCGGGTTGCCGTTCCTAAACGGCACCCGCCTTTTCTAGCTGTGCGCGCTCCCTAGGAGCGCACACCATCGCGATCCGGTGTCCGCTGTGTCCTCCGGACACAGTGAAACACCGATCGTCGGACGGGACCTCTGTACGAGGTCCCGGTCATGTGATCACTGATTGGCGAATCAGTGATCACATGCAAAGTAGTGAGCAAGATGTCACTTGTGACATCATTGCTTACTACGTGTGAAATCTGTGAATGATCACAGAGGTCACATGGTACAAGGCTATTCACAACAGCCTTGTACCATGTGACAAGCTGTGACCAATCACAGCTCACTCAGTATTTCTCAATGACTGCAAGAATGCAGACAGAGAGAAAGAGAAATGATTGCTTTTACATCCTATATGGGTGTAAAAGCAATCAGTGTAAAAAAAAAAAAAAAAAAATCTTCATCACCCCCCACAAGTAGTACAGTGTCACCATGGTGACACTGTACTGCTAGGGTGACAGTATGTAAAAATATAAAAAAAAAATAAAAAAATAATATAAAAAAAAATAAAATAAAAATGTAAAAAAAAATTTTAAAAAATTATAATGTTTTATTATAAACTAATTTGGATTTTTTTTTTTTACTAAAAAAATAATGGAATAAATTTTGGCCAAGATTTAGGATGAAATATTATTTATTTGCAAAATTTTTATTAAAAAAAAACACTTTTTTTCAAAATTTTTGGACATTTTCATTTACATAGTAAAAAAAATAAAAAATCCCAGCGGTGAATAAATACCACCAAAATAAAGCTTTATCTGTCTCAAAAAAATGGTAAAAAATTCATATGGGTACAGTATTGCATGACCGCGCAATTGTCATTCAAAGTGTGATAGTGCTGAAAGCTGAAAATTGCCCTGGACAGGAAGGGGGTAAAAGTGTCCGGACAGGAAGTGGTTAAGAACTCCATTCAATGAATGGACCTGTTGATTCTTTTACTGATATCGCCATCTTCTGGTTAGAGTGTGATAATGTTTTAACTGATCAGTATATTTAATTCATGATCTTTGGATTTATATATGCATTGCTATGATTGCCAAGCCTCTCCCCTCTCTGATGTCTCCAGTTGTCTGTATTTTTTATATTTAACAATGACCAGCAGCTGTGCTAAGTATTTAGCCCCCTTTCTTCTTCCATTAGGAATAACTGCAGGTTGGTTTTTTTGCATAAATGGGTGGGGTGTAACCCACTATAAATAGGAAATTGAGATGTGGTTGTTTCATTGGTCCTGACGAAGCTGAGTGAGATACGCCCATCGGCGAAACGCGTTGACGTCATACGTCAGATACGTCACTTCCGGTCATGCGCACTAGGTGGAACGCACGCTGACCCATTAGGAGGAAGCCATCTTCACATGCCATGAGGCAAGCCTAAGCAGCACAGGCGCCAAGAGGGGGCTGGAACCCGCGGTATATCGGCGGATGTCAGCGGTGGTTCCCTGGCCTCTTTGGCCTTGTATGGCAGTACCTATGAAGGACATCCTTTCCGTTCCTATTATCTATTGCACAGGTGGTGAGTGGACTGTTACAGGACATTAGATATATGGTCCTCTGTCATTATATGACCTATATATCCTACATAGAGTGTAAGCTCTGTCAGTGACTCTTCCACATATTGTTTGTTTTACTACAGGATGGGGACATCATGGTGCTTTTTATGGGAAACAAGATATACCACATGCATTTCAACAGGCAGAAGATCTTTTGGGATGTGTCTTGTTTTTCTTACAGAAAGTGGTGTGTAGTCCACATGTAGTGGTGAAGAAACCATTTCAAGCAGAGTGCTGCTTTTTGCATCTTTTCTTCCATCCTGGGAATAAATGGGGCATATTCTCATTTAGGAGCTCTAGGAAACAGCTGTTTATACAGATGAATGGGCCCCAACCACTTGTGCCGGCACAGGAATGTATTGTATTATACATATGACATTTTTGTCTTTTTTCATACAGGCCTGAGGCGCATTGTTCTCCTCTTGACGCATATTGTGCTTGCTGAATTGCATACATGTGATATCCATATCCATAGTATAATTTTTGGATTCCCTGGTTTGGGATATAACCATTATGGCAATTGCCGAATTCTAATATTATAACATGTATTATGGTATACCTATGGTATAATTTTTGGATACACCTCCTTTGGGAAGTGTTCACCTATGTGTTTGTGTCACAGGGACATTAGACTCTTGTAGTCATTTTCTCTGTTGCACATGCATTTAGACCGGTCTTGGTGTTATTTTTAATGGTTTTAGGTCTGTGTGTATTGTCTCATACTGAGGTGATGGTAAACCAGGGCGACTGCCCACATGTCATATTTATAAGTGTAATAAAGCATAATTTTTGGAAATTTTTCTGAGTGTCACATTCTGTTCATAATGTAGCCGCTTTTCTGTGAATCTCTTTTCACAAATCCTCCTTTTTGCATGTCTTTTTTGGCTACTGAATGGAGACCAAATATTGGGTGATACGATAATTTATTTTATAACCTCTCAATTATTATCTTTAGCATATATGTATAAATATATACCTATGTTTTGAATTTTAAAAATCATATTTTATTTTTCCAATTAAGAAGGGTTCGGTGAATGCGCATATGAAACTGGTGGGGTTCAGTACCTCCAACAAGGTTAAGAACCACTGCTTTGGAGTGTGGGAGGAAACCGGAGTACTCAGAGGAAACCCATGCAGAACATGCAAACTCCATGCAGGAGGCGCCACGGTTGGGAATCAAACCCATGATGAGATAAAAATTGTGAGTGTAATTGTGTGCGTGCGTGTGCGTGCGTGTGCGTGTGTGTGTGTGCGTGTGCGTGCGTGTGCGTGTGTGTGGTGTGAGTCTGTGGGCTCCTTAGCCCAGCTTGTAATCTCCTCCAAATTTTGTGAAAATGTCCTACTAAAAAGGTCTTTTTTCCGGCTTTATAAGGCCCCCATGTACACGGGACGTTTCTGAAGGATGGAAACTGACTGCTGGAAAACGTAGGTTAAAAAATGTCTGTTTAGTCGCGTTTGCATACCGCATTCGCGTATGCGCGTTGGCGTTTAGAAGCGTGTTTTAACCCCTCGCCTACAGGGCACTTATACCCCCTTCCTTACCAGGCCAATTTTCAGCTTTCAGCACTGTCGCACTTTGATTGACAATTGCGCGGGTCATGCAACATTGTACCCATATGAAATTTTTATCTTTTTTTTCTCACAAATAGAGCTTTCTTTTGGTGGTATTTAATCACCGCTGGGCACTTTACGTTTTGCGCTATAAACAAAAAAGTGCAAAAAATGTGAAAAAAAAAAAGTTTCCTTGTTTCTATTATAAAAATTTTTCAAACAGGTAATTTTCCTCCTTCACTGATGTGCGATGATGAGGCAGCACTGATGGGCACTGATAGGCAGCACTGATGGGCACTGATAGGCAGCACTGATGGGCACTGATAGGCAGCACTAATGAGGTGGCATGGATAGGCAGCACTGATAGGCAGCACTAATGAGGTGGCAGAGATAGGTGGCACTAATAGATGGCACTGATAGGTGGCACTGATGATGGGTACTGATAGACAGCACTGATAGGTGGCACTGACTGGCAGCACTGCTTGGCACTGACAGGCGGCACTGCTAGGCATTGACTGGAGCAACTGCTGGGCACTGACTGGTGGCATTGACTGGCAGCACTGCTGGGCTGCACTGATGGGCACTGGTAGGCACAGATGGGTGGCACTGGTGGGCACAGGTGGGTGGCACTGCTGGGTGGTACTGGTGGGCACAGGTGGGCGGAACTGGTGGGTGGCACTGCTGGGCACCGATCATCAGGGCACTGATCATCAGTGCCCGGATGATCGGTGCCGATCCCTGCTCTGACAACTTGAGGAAAGTGCAGCCGAGATCCGGCAATTGCATTTCCTGGTGATCAGCGTGTCATTGGACATGGCTGATCACGTGGTAAAAGGCCGCTGTGATTGGCCTTTTACCACATCACGTGAGATCGTCGGGTGCGCGACCCCGGGGGCGCGCAGGAGAGTGTGTTCTGGGAGAACGTCATATGACGCCCTCCCAAAACTGGCCATCCACAGTGTAGCCATCATTCGGCTATCTGCAGTTGGCAAGTAGTTAAAGAGAAACACAGGAGAACCTCCCGAATGCCCAGAATGCACTGAAAAGTGGTAAATTATGAACTATTTCAGACTGTTTAAAAGAAATACAGAGAGTAGAAGCAGAGACAGCAGTATGAGTTGAGATTAGCTTAGGTGTGAGTTGCTCATTAACATTTCCTTTGTTTACAAGGGTGGGAAAGGTGTCTGCTGGAGGAGTCATTAAGGTTACCTAGCAGGGGGTCTTCATGAGGAATTTGAGGTGTGAATGGTCATTAACATATCTTTTGTTTTCAAGGGTGGGAGAGGTCTGAGGTGTGAATGGTCATTAACATATCTTTTGTTTCCAAGGGTGGCAGAGGTCTGAGGTGTGAATGGTCATTAACATATCTTTTTGTTTCCAAGGGTGGGAGAGGTCTGAGGTGTGAATGATCATTAACATATCTTTTGTTTCCAAGGGTGGGAGAGGTCTCTCGGGTGTGAATGGTCATTAACATATCTTTTGTTTCCAAGGGTGGGAGAGGTCTGAGGTGTGAATGGTCATTAACATATCTTTTGTTTCCAAGGTGGGAGAGGTCTGAGGTGTGAATGGTCATTAACATATCTTTTGTTTCCAAGGGTGGGAGAGGGTCTGAGGTGTGAATGGTCATTAACATATCTTTTGTTTCCAAGGGTGGGAGAGGTCTCAGGTGTGAATGGTCATTAACATATCTTTTGTTTCCAAGGGTGGGAGAGGTCTGGGGTGTGAATGGTCATTAACATATCTTTTGTTTCCAAGGGTGGGAGAGGTCTGAGGTGTGAATGGTCATTAACATATCTTTTGTTTCCAAGGGTGGGAAAGGTCTGAGGTTTGAATGGTCATTAACAAATCTTTTGTTTCCAAGGGTGGGAGAGAGGTGTGAATGGTCATTAACATATTTTTTGTTTCCAAGGGTGGGAGAGGTCTGAGGTGTGTTTCAGAGAAATACAGAGAGTAGAAGCAGAGACAGCAGTATGTGTTGAGATAATTAGGTGTGAGTTGCTCATTAACATTTCTTTTGTTTCCAAGGGTGGGAAAGGTGTCTGGTGGAGGGAGTCATTAAGGTCACCTGGCAGGGGGTCTTCATGAGGAATTTGAGGTGTGAATGGTCATTAACATATCTTTTGTTTCCAAGGGTGGGAGAGGTCTGAGGTGTGAATGGTCATTAACATATCTTTTGTTTCCAAGGGTGGGAGAGGTCTCGGGTGTGAATGGTCATTAACATATGTTTTGTTTCCAAGGGTGGGAGAGGTCTGAGGTGTGAATGGTCATTAACATATCTTTTGTTTCCAAGGGTGGGAGAGGTCTGAGGTGTGAATGGTCATTAACAAATCTTTTGTTTCCAAGGGTGGGAGAGGTGTGAATGTTCATTAACATATTTTTTGTTTCCAAGGGTGGGAGAGGTCTGAGGTGTGAATGGTCATTAACATATCTTTTGTTTCCAAGGGTGGGAGAGGTCTCGGGTGTGAATGGTCATTAACACATCTTTTGTTTCCAAGGGTGGGAGAGGTCTGTGGTGTGAATGGTCATTAACATATCTTTTGTTTCCAAGGGTGGGAGAGGTCTCGGGTGTGAATGGTCATTAACACATCTTTTGTTTCCAAGGGTGGGAGAGGTCTGGGGTGTGAATGGTCATTAACATATCTTTTGTTTCCAAGGGTGGGAGAGGTCTGAGGTGTGAATGGTCATTAACATATCTTTTGTTTCCAAGGGTGGGAAAGGTCTGAGGTGTGAAATGGTCATTAACAAATCTTTTGTTTCCAAGGGTGGGAGAGGTGTGAATGGTCATTAACATATTTTTTGTTTCCAAGGGTGGGAGAGGTCTGAGGTGTGAATGGTCATTAACATATCTTTTGTTTCCAAGGGTGGGAGAGGTCTGAGGTGTGAATGGTCATTAACATATCTTTTGTTTCCAAGGGTGGGAGAGGTCTGAGGTGTGAATTGGTCATTAACATATCTTTTGTTTCCAAGGGTGGGAGAGGTCTGAGGTGTGAATGGTCATTAACATATCTTGTTTCCAAGGGTGGGAGAGGTCTGAGGTGTGAATGGTCATTAACATATCTTTTTGTTTCCAGGGGTGGGAGAGGTCTGAGGTGTGAATGGTCATTAACATATCTTTTGTTTCCAAGGGTGGGTGTCAAGGTCCTACCTTTCCCTGAGGTTATGTTACTCCATGTGCTGGCGTCCATCTTGGATTCTGCTGTGCATGATGGGAATCCTTTTTATGCCTTCAGGTCTCTGAGGTCCACCCCCCAGAGGGGCGTGGCTGATGACATATAAGCCTGTGGCCCGCACATGCTCTTTGCACTTGTGTCTTTGTGTTACTATTACTCTGTTCTGACTCTCGTGGCTCTCCTGGTATTCTGATTCGGCTTGTGACTTGACTATTCTTTGTATTCTCCTTTGATCTGACCCTCTGTTGCTGAACCCGGCTTGTGACCTGTGATTCTCGTCTGCTGTCCTGTACTGTTTTGTTCTGTTGTTGTTGACCCCGGCTTGTCTGACTACTCTTTTGTTTCTTCCACCAGCTACACGCCATTGGCGGCGGCCATTACCGCAGCTGAGGTGTCTCGGGGGCCGCGACCTGGTTCCTGGCTGTGTCACGTCCATCCCCACCATCAGGGGCCCTGGTGAAGGGCAGCCTGGGACTTAGACTCCGCGCCCTGAGGGACTTTGGTCTGTGGGTGGTGGTTGTCGTCAGCCAGTGCGTTACATTGTTAGGCCTGCCTGTCCATTCCTCGGCCCCTGCCCTGACATTACACAAGTGCCATGAACCCTGACGGTGCAGGCACGCCTTCGCTCCCAACGCTAGTCGCCAGACTCGATCAACAGGATCACCTGTTGGATCAGTTCGCTCAGGCGTTGCAAACTCTGCTTGCACGCACTGCACACCTTGCTCCTGGTGCTATTAGGCTGGTAGTCACTCCGGTGGTCTCTCCCGCTGCTTCTCCGCCTATTGCGTCCACCACCTCGGTGGCTGCATCAGCAGCACCCAGAGGTATGACTGGCTCTGCCCCTCTTCCACAGCGCTTTGGGGGTGAGCCGAGTCAGTGTCGTAGGTTCCTCAACCAGGTGGGTATTTATTTTGAATTAATACCCCACGCCTTCCCGTCTGAGAGGTCAAAGGTTGGGTTCCTAATTTCACTACTCTCAGACAAGGCCTTGGCCTGGGCAAATCCCTTATGGGAGAGGAACGACCCGGTGATTCAAGATTTTTCCGGTTTTGTCGATGCCTTCCGTAGGGTATTCGATGTACCGGCTCAGTCCGCCTCGGCGGCCAAGCTGCTCATGACCATGCATCAGGGTTCACGGACCGTGGCCGAGTACGCCATAGAGTTTCGTACCCTGGCGGCAGAGGTCGGTTGGAACAATGAGGCTCTGGTGGCTGCGTTTTCCCATGGTCTTTCTGACACATTGAAGGACGAGATTGCAGCTAAGGAACTGCCTGTGGTGTTGGAGGAGCTCATCTCTTTCCTGATCCTGATTGACACCAGGCTTAGGGAGAGGCCTTCACTCAAGGAACGCCTGCGGAGGCCTTCCAATCGACTGGCACCTGCGTTTTCTGTCCCACCCGTTCCTCCCTCTCCTCCCACGCCTCCTGGGGATGGATTGTCTGGTGGTGAGCCCATGCAGCTGGGGTTTGCTCGCCTTTCCGAGGGGGAGTGGGGGGCCGCTCGGCGGCGTGGGAGGGTCGCTGCCTGTACTGTGGTCTTGGTGGGCACTTTCGGCAGTCCTGTCCAGTCCGTCCGGGAAACGCTCGCACCTGAGATCCTGTCGGGGACAGATCTTGGGTGGAGTCTCCTCGTCCCCGGCGTTCCGCAGAGATAAGCCACTGATCACCGTTGTCCTCTCTTGGGCGGAGGGCTCGGGGACGGCCCAGGCGTTGGTAGATTCTGGGGCCGGCGGGTTGTTTATGGACAGCTCGTTTGCTGCCCAGCACTCCATTCCCCTGCAGGCTCGAGTTACCCCATTGGTTCTCGAGGCGATAGATGGCAGGCCCCTGCAACCACCGCAGGTTACCCACACGAGACTGTGCCAGTGGAAGTAGCTATTGGGGCTGTTCACAGGGAGTTGGCCTGTTTCCAGGTGATTTCTTCTCCGCACTATTCGGTGGTTTTGGGGTATCCCTGGCTCCAGATGCACAATCCAACCTTCAATTGGCAAACTGCCGAGATTCTCTCGTGGTCTCCACAGTGTGGGGCCGGGTGCATCCGTGGGCCGGTTAAGGTGTTGTGTGCCTCCTCGGACTCTGCGTTGCCCACTGATTATGGGGAGTACCGGGACGTGTTTGATAAGGTACGCGCTGGTGCCTTACCTGCTCATCGTCCTTACGACTGCGCCATATCCTTGCAACCCGGTGCCACTCCTCCGCGTGGCAGGGTGTATCCTCTCTCGATTGCGGAGAATAAGGCCATGGAGGAGTACGTTTGGATGCGCTTTCCCGGGGGCACATTCGTAAGTCTACTTCCCCAGCAGGAGCGGGCTTTTTCTTTGTAAAGAAGAAGGGTGGTGAATTGAGGCCTTGCATTGATTATAGGGGTCTTAATCGAATCACCACTAAGAATACCTACCTGATTCCCTTGATTACTGAGTTATTCGACCGCCTTAAGGGAGCAACAGTCTTTACCAAACTTGACCTTAGGGCGGCGTACAACCTCGTACGGATCAAACAGGGGGATGAGTGGAAGACCGCGTTTAACACCAGAACCGGTCACTACGAATACCTGGTGATGCCCTTCGGGTTGTGTAACGCGCCCGCAGTTTTTTAGGAATTCATAAATGATGTCCTTCGTGACTTGTTGCAGCAGTGCGTGGTAGTTTACTTGGATGACATCCTGGTTTACTCTGCCTCCATGGAGTCCCATATCCAGGATGTCAAGCAGGTGCTGCAACGATTACGTGAGAACAAACTTTTTTGTAAACTTGAGAAGTGCGAATTCCATCGATCGCAAGTTGCCTTTTTAGGCTACATCATTTCTGCGGAGGGATTCTCCATGGACCCTCAGAAGGTTTCGGCGGTTCTGCAGTGGCCTCGTCCCAGTGGTCTTCGGCCCATTCAGCGCTTTTTGGGTTTTGCCAACTGAAAGGAATTGGCTCCTCTCGTTCCTTCCTGTAGCTACCGACTCCCGTCTAATAATATCCTGACTCTGACTAACTCCCACTTTTCTAACAATAAGCCTACAACACAATTTGAACAAGACATTCACATAGGCACCCAACTCCGTGTCACCATGCTATCACCTTCTCTAGGTCATCAGCCAATAAGGCCTAGCTAAAGGGGTGGTGCGTCTTTACAACGGAAGTTGACAATACCTTCAGTAACCGCTGGCCCATACACTTACCAACTGGGCACTTGTGTCACACAAACAAATTATCTTATACTTCTATGCGATAGGAAGAAAAGCAAAGAGTTGCAGGACAGAATGGATCAACCCCGGACTTTTTCTGGTTTCTTCTCAGAGAGAAACTCTTTTCAGCCCCTTCTCATAAGAGACTGTGCAGTTTCCAAAACTGCTCCTGGTCTTTTCCAAAAGACCTTGTGCTCCCCACAGCACTTTGCGCCTGGCCACTGGCGTCTTAAGACGCGAAGCCCAGTGCTACCTAAGGGCATGAGATTTCAATCAGAGCCTTACCGGCAAGACAGACTAATTGACAGAATGACAAAAAAATCTTACTTACCGAAAAGGATGATTATCTCATCCCGGACACGAGCCCCCAATTGAAAGGAATTGGCTCCTCTCGTTCCTTCCTGTAGCTACCGACTCCCGTCAGTCCCCTGGCCCTGATCAATGTCTGTCCTCAGGCCCGGAGTTCCCTTTGAGATATAGGAAATTGCACACAGACACAAGGTGATATCTCAGAAGGAACTGAATTTATTCTTCCGTGTTCAAACTTATATATATGAAACTTAAAACAATACATGGAAATATAAGAACCAATCAATTGACAGGTATGCATTGACCAATCAGAATATTACATACGTCAGTAATGCCCAATCATTTAGCATTTATGTTAATTATTATTATATGCGTCAAGCATTAGTATAGAAAGTAGACAACTTCCCTATTTCACACTGGCTAAAGTTATTAATACTCTTGCAACAGAAAAAGCCCACCGCAGACTTTCAGTCTTGTGCTAGGTAGAGGAAAAAAGGAAGTTACATCTGAAGGGAAAAGAGGAACCTCAGACTCTTATCGAAAGTAAGAAACAGTCTTAAAACACAAATTCATCTTTAAGTACTGACATAAGTCTTAAGATGGATACTTATCTTTAAAATGGCAGATCTTAGGCTAAGAGACAAAATGGCGGTATGGTAATGCTGAAAGGCTAATTCCTTCACCAACTACTATAGGAAGTTCATCCGGAACTTCTCCACGCTGGCAAAGCCTCTCTCAGACCTAACCAAGAAGGGCAGTAATCCTCACGAGTGGCCACCCGAGGCCATCGTAGCGTTCGAGGCTCTGAAATCCGCCTTCACGTCGGCTCCGATACTGTCTCATCCCGATCCTGGATTGCCCTTCGTCCTTGAGGTTGATGCATCTGAGACGGGAGTAGGCGCTCTCCTGTTTCAACGTCGGTCGCCCGATGGACCCCTACTTCCCTGTGGGTTCTACTCCAGGAAGCTTTCCTCTGCAGAGTGCAACTACCAGATTGGAGATAGGGAGTTGTTGGCAATCATTCTGGCTCTCAAGGAATGGAGGCACCTGCTCGAGGGCTCCGCGGTTCCGGTCCTCATTCTTACCGATCATAAGAACCTGACTTATCTTTCGGAGGCCAAAAGATTGACACCCCGCCAGGCCAGATGGGCTCTGTTCTTGTCACGCTTCAACTATGTGGTTTCATATTTGCCTGGTTCTAAGAATGTCAGGGCTGATGCGTTATCACGGCAATACTCTGAGTTGTCCAGGGAAGACTCTGAGCCAATCTCAGTTATTCCTCCAGATCAGATCCTGGCTGCCATTCGCACCAGTCTGACCTCTCCTCTTGGGGAGCAGATTTTGGCGGCTCAATCTGATGCTCCCCCTGGGAAGCCGGAGGGTAGATGT